GGTTAATCCATTTTAAACTGCTTTAAAGTGAACATTTTCCCCCATTTTTGACACCACTGTGCAATATTTTGAATTGAAATGGCCTGTAATGGCCCTTTTTTTTTATTTTCCATAACAACATGAGCACTAAATTATAGCTGTGCAATTATGTAAACAATGGAAATGCTTCCAGAATGAATCCTTCCTTTTAAATTTTCATTTTGTGTAATTGTTGGAAGGTTTGGAGCCATAATAAACAAAATTATTTTACACATTTATCGTTCTAAAGGTCAATTATAAGAGAACTAAAGAAACAACACTATGCAAAATGAATAAACCAATTTCTGTTGCCATCACCATATGTTTTTCTTATCACTTATGGTTTTTCCAGTTACTGTGTACATAGCATTCAATTAAAGCGATTCATTTACCAGGCTGAATGCGGTTTGTGTTTATAGAACGGTGCTTTGGAGGAGAGGAAACAACATGCCTCTATTTGAATTACCTGATTTTTTGTAAGATCAGTGATAAGAGACAGATGTTCTCACCAGTTACTTTCTCATAAGCTGGAATCTTTTGATAAGCTGCAAATTCACAATTATTATCTTACAGTGCAGCTTTCACACTCACTGTGTGGCATGCGTGTGGACTTTTAACCAGAAACAGGAGAAAAATACTAGTTTGGTGGTCTTTTTACTATATGGCAGCATGTTGCAGAATGAATTTTATTTCCTTTGAAAAAAACATGTGAAAGAACTTTGTGCTTCACACGGTCAGTTCTCAAAAATACGCCTAATTCCTGTTTTAGAGTCCATTTTTCATTGGACTTATTGTTTAGCTTATTGTTTTTAGTCTATTTAGAGTATGGAAAAAGAAACTAATTTTTGCTACCAGAGTCACTTGTTTCAGGCAAATTCTAGAACTCCTTAGAAAAATGGAAGCTAGAAAATCTAAAAATACCATTTTCCTGTTTTGATTTTATTATTTGCCTTAGAAATTATATACATTATAATGGCTATAATGCTTTGCTAGGAATGTTATTTGAAAGCACTAATGTCTAGAGGTTTTTAATATCTGGGATAATGTCAACTAAGAGTCTTATTTATGCCACCTTCAAAATCTTCTAAAATGTTCTTTCCGAATATCAGCAAAATAATAGTCCAGAGAATTCTACAAACAAAACCTACGAAGTAAATTCTAGAAAGTAAAATCCTTCAGAGTCCTTCCTTTTTGAAAAAAAAAAAAAATCATTTTTTTTACTTGTCACCGTCTTTACTCCTGTATGGTACTTTTCAGTTCAGTTTAGAAAGGCATGTGTTCACATCTATGTCATTAGATAGGACTCTGTGGGAGGGAGTCATCCCATTTAATGGAAGAGAAACATGAAGCTCTAGGCATGACATGATCTGCCTGCAGTCACGTACACTCGGCCTTGAACCTAAGCCTTGAGACCCCAGTCCCAGTGCACTTTTCATCACACCAGGGTTTGAGTGCAGGGGCATTTCCCACTGGTAGTCACAGGAGAGGTTTCACTAAACAGCCTCCAGTCATCCAGGAAGAACGATGGCCCCTTTCCTCATCTCCATCAGTCCTTGATACTCTCTCAGCTAGGCTAGTTGGAGCAGGTACAGAACTCTCACACCACCCTGAAGACCAAACCGCCCTTTGTAACAAGGGGAGCCTCCATCAGTGATATGTAGCAAAAATTCAGTAGCCTTGATTTACTGTTACTGTATTGACATAGGACTATTTTCTACTTGTGACATAGGACACTGATTTTCCAGAATAATATTATTTAAGTTTAAAAAAAATGAGTTGCTTTGAAAAAGAGACAGATAATGTTCACTTTGGATGTAAATTTGGCAGAAGGCATGAGGTTGTACATGAATAATTTGACCATTTGGGAAGCACAGTCCTGTCTATATATGAAGACTTGGAATCTGTGCAAAAAGTTTCAGAGTCTCAAGATTTTTATTTTTTCAGAGATTCCAGCAATAGCTATGATCTTACTGTGATTAAAGTGGGAGGAGAAGGTGAAAGAAGATTCTACTAGATACGAGTGGAGCCCTCAATGGATCTCCCTCCATTGAGTATATGCAGCTGTTCTCTTTTAAGCACCACACAGTCATTCCTAATTTTAACATGTCATCACAAAGACAGAATCTTTGGGTTGTTCCATTTCAGTATGGACAAGCAAAATAAGCAGGCATATGGCCATAATTTGGCTGACTAGCCATTCAGTTCCCTCTTTGACTCCCACATTACCCCTACCCCAGTGCTGCCTTTAACTGGCGACAGCTACCCAGGCCCCACTTCTCCTCAGGGCTCTGTCTTACGTGGGTGGCATAGTAGGGTAGGCTAGCCATCTGTTATTTTGCCCTCTCTTTCCAATCTTCTTGCCCATAGAAACAGGTTCCGTTGAAGTGACTGGCGCAGATCCAGAGGCGGGGAGCCGTGTGACTCTATCTCGGCTTCATGTGTTTCTGCTGTCTTTAGCATTGGTGGCAACTTAGTAATTTTTGGTGCATGCCCCATTTACAGAGCACTTCACTTTTACACACATGAATCTTATGAAGCAAAATGATTTCATTTACAAATTCTGGCCTTAGCTTGTTAAAGGATTTAGCTCCTAATTCCCATAAACTTGTCACAGAAAATTTTTTTTAATTAAAATTCTAAATTCCAGTGGTGAAAATGGCTTATTTAAGTTTGTGCCAAAGATTTTAAAAATCTTCAGGGTTCAAGGCTTAGTTCCTCATCTCAACAGATGGAATGAACACAAACATAACCAAGTTAACATGGTGGTTGTTTGCATTATTAATCTTCAGATACACAGCATTCTGCTACCTTGCTGGCCAGGTTGACATGAATCCTTTCAGTGTGGCATATGTCAACAGAAATGTTCTTCCATCTGCTGCCGGGTAGCTTGATGCCTGATATTCCTAGACAAGGCCCAGCACAATGCGCACCTCTGTGAGTAATTACAGGTGTGTGGTGAGGAGCCCAGGGCATTAATCAGAGGCTTAATTATGAAAAAGGTGGATCTTTTGTTCCACTCTTGGAGCATGAGTTTACTACACACTTTCTAAACTACAGCGTCCATCTGCTCAGCCCCTTAGAATGTTTGCCTTGGCTGATATGGACCCTAAAGTGTATCAAAGGACATGATTAAAGCAGGGTTAAACATTAACTTGGGAGAAGTATGGTTCAGGTTTTTCTTTCCTCCCCTCCTTTATCTGTCTGTTTACCTATCTCTGTATTTTTGGTATAGGAAAAGCTCTGCTGAAACGCTAAAACTTTAAATTAGTACTAGCTAAACTACCGCATATGAGCTCTAATGGAGTAAGCACAGGATAGTCATTTTAAGGATATGAACAGCACAATTCGTAGAAACCAAATAAATCCATTACATAGGGACAAAAACAAGTCTTGGGGAAAAAAATGTATTGTGAACACATAAAAATTCTCTTTCAAGATTAACAGATTGTGAAATGAGGTAAAGGACTTAATGTGTTAGGATTTAGTGTGTTGCTACTACTTTGTTCTAATTTAATCAAATTGAATCAGGATTATTTTATTCATTTATTTTAAGTTTATTTATTTTCAAACAGAGAGTGTGTGTGTGTATGTGTGTGTGCGAGTGGATGAGGGGCAGAGAGAGAGGGAGAGAGAGAATCCCAGACAGGTTCCACACTGTCAGTACACAGCTTGATGCCGGGCTTGATCTCACGAACCGTGAGGTCATGACCTGGGCCAGCTCAAATCAAGAGTCAGACACTTAACCAACTGAGCCACCCAGGTGCCTCAGGATTATTTTAAAGGATTTTTAAAATAGCCATAGAAAAGAAATCAGATTTTTTTTTTAAATTTTTTTTTCAACGTTTATTTATTTTTGGGACAGAGAGAGACAGAGCATGAACGGGGAAGGGGCAGAGAGAGAGGGAGACACAGAATCGGAAACAGGCTCCAGGCTCTGAGCCATCAGCCCAGAGCCTGACGCGGGGCTCGAACTCACGGACCGCGAGATCGTGACCTGGCTGAAGTCGGACGCTTAACTGACTGCGCCACCCACGCTCCCCAAGAAATCAGATTTTTTAAAATTTTGCTTCTTGGCTTGTATTTTGAGACTAACTATAGATTGAATAAACTACAAGACACATACCTCTAGTAGTTGAGTATGTTTGATTAATGTGCATGGCCTAGAAGTACGTAAGAGAAGTTTGTGGTTTTCTAATTCCCTGTGCACACACACACTCGCACAGGTGGCTTCAGAGATGTGGCCTGGCTGTGGGTGGCATGAACACTATCTGGTGGTGGAGCCCTACTCTGCCACAGGCTGGAATGTGGTGGCTGTCTCAGAACAGAGCTGGTGGGCAGGGGCCAGCCTGCCACCCACCACGGCAGGCCATTCCAGACACGGCAACACCAGGTGTCTCGGCAGTCGGGGGTCTTCATGTTGCACACCATGTAAATGGCAGCTGCTACATTTGCACTTTTACCTGGTGTTCTCACTTGTACCCAGAGCCACACTGACTGCCCGAGTGTGACCGTGCTCTATTCATTCCCATTGTTTAACACATAGAACTATCCAAAGAGTGAATATTTCCATCTCTTTGCCTACTTAAAGATTTTTTAATGAAACAGTGTGCTTTAACTTTTGAAAATTGGAGAGTTTTGAAAGTGATAGGTGTTTGCAGGTCTTATTTATATATCTACCTGAATACTCCCTGGAGCTTGTCTGAAGCTTTCACCTTAAGGTGAAAGACAGAAGTGTCTAGTCCCAATGCCATGATTTAGATTTTGGGCATGTCATCTTACAACTTAGTGTCCCTTCTCTTACCTGTACAATGGGTGCAATAGCCCTTGGACTAAGTCATCTCCCAGTACCCATTTTACTGAAAAATTTCTGTGACCCTCGTTCCCTTAGATTATCATATAGTGGCCATATATACAAATGAACTGTCTACTCTGGAATTTTGTTCTTGAAAATTACAGTTGTGCTTTCTTATCTCTGCCTCTAGGATATCTTAAATACCATTATAAGGCACTGTCCACCCCGCTTCTTCTCCCTGGGTTTGCCTGGCTTCTCAATGCTGGTGGGGGACTTCATCACGGCTGCTGCTAGGGTCCTCAGTACAGACACGCCGGCGGTGAGTATGACAATGCTCAGCATCCAAACTCCCAGGAGACTTCACAATCGCTAACAAGGTTCAGATTTCTCCACTCTTAACAGGTGTTGACTCATTAGTGCAATGTGAAACTGGGCTCTGGGGTAGATGCCCTGGCAGCTGATGTGTGAAATTGTAGGATAAGATGACACACTGGTATTGGGAAGGCGTTTCATCAAAAGGCCAGAGTGTGAAAAATCATATCCTCACTAATGTTTCAGTACATTTACACAGTCAGAAGCAGGAGTTGTCTCTTAGAGTCTATTAGCATTTTCCAGTAAATGGTGGCACACAGATGTCTGTAGTAAAGAGAGAATTTTAAGTGTACATTATCAATAATTTTTTAAATTATTATCTTGGTTTTTATAAGTCTAACAAAATATTTTTTAATGTGAGAACACTTAAATTTTAAGCAGATGATGAATACATATTATTAATTGTGCAATAAAACTCTGGCAAAATTCTTACACTAAACAATGAGAATCGAGTGGACTAAATGAACATTCATGGCTACAAAAAGATTATCTGCAATCTCCACATTTACTTCCACTATTAGCGCAATGTGTTAATGTCTTTTGGGAGAACACTCTTATACATTTACACATAAAGGGCCTCTCACTTTTGTGCTCTGTACACCTGTTACCTGTTCAGACTCATTGTTTTCCTTTTCAAATGGTGTGAATAAAATTAGCTTTACTGTTTTCCAGGGACTTGTATTGAAATCAATATGAGTATTTAGCTACCTAAATTTTGTTTGATATATTGCTACTTTTTCACTCTACTTCTGTCTCCTCTGCAGGGTAAATTCAAACTCCAACCCTGGATTTTAATTTAAGTTGTTTTTAATACCTTATGTATAGGTGGTATTTCATGCTGGTATTTTCATGTGCTAACTTTTTCTTATAAGGATAAGTTAAAAAGCAAAGGGAAGGGAAAAGAGAGAGCAATGACAGGGGAGGATAAAAAAGAAAGGTAGAAGAAAAAAGGAAGAAAGATGTTGAATTTGTTCAACTGTTTTTTTTAAGGAATAGGAAATTTTTATACTTCTTTGTTTCTGAAAAAGATTTTAAGATAATAATTCTCAAAGAACCTTCAAATTTATTTTTTATCATTCAGATCAACATTGAACAAATTCACAAGATACAGGAAGGAAAACCATACTTCTTTATTGATAGTTTCCTTACTTGATACTAGGGTTTCCTATAAAAATGCCACACCCTTTCTAGAGATGATGCCATGCATGGCAGTCATTCTCTGTGAAAACTTATCTCTTGGCTAAGTAAGATATTAAAGTAGCTTTCCAAAATATATTTTTTTAGAAAGAGAAAGAAAATATGGTCATGTGAATGTAAAAGTTACATGAAAGAATAGTAACTATTAATTGCCTTGAATTTCTCTCTTAGTTTAAACTTGAAGTTTAAAGTTGTAGGGGAACTGGTGATGGGGCACACCTACTCAGTCAAGTTTTTGGCTAACACAAGTTAAATACAAGTTTGAAGTACCCTTGCTACGCCCTGCTGAGGGAAAGAGAAACGCACACACAGGTCACCAAAAGATGGGTTGGAGCTTGTGCTCAGCAAACATTCTTCACAGTAGCCTAAAACTAGAACTAATCCAAATGTCCATCACCAGTGGGACAGATCAGTTGTGTGCATATAGGACAGAGTATTGCATATATTCCCCTTCCCATGCTTTACCCTGGAACTCTATAGGGTCGGACCTGGGTTCCATCCCAGTGTTGCCTTGTATTGTTCTCTAACTTTAGACAATATGCTTAGACACATGAGCCTCATTCTCCTCATTCTCCTGTGTGTAAATTGGGACTCATCCTAGGCTCAGTGCTTAGGCCAAAAAAGTATTGTCATTTACCACATTCATTGAATAAAGCTGTGTAACAACTCCTTAATTTTATTTAAGATCTGATGTTTTATATCTAGTTGTTATATAGCCTAGCACGCAATCTAAAAATCCACAGTTAAAGCCAGGCTCATGTACAACACAATAGTTAAGCCACTCAGGGGAAGGTATCAATCTCAATGAAGTCTAAACCAGGATTGTCTGATGGGTAAGTCTAAAAAAAAAAAAAAAAAAAAAAAAGATTGATGGATAAAGGGCAGCAGATAATGAGGGCCAACAAAGCAAGGCTGTTTGAGAAATGTTTACTGTGGGCCTACTACATGCTGGGACCTGGCCTGGCTGAGTATGACAGGCCCCTAGCCTCAAGGAACCAGATGGGTACACCAAGTGTTTAATGTTTGTGCATGAGTTTCTAGCAGCCACGGTAAAATCACATCCAGAACCCACGGGGGCACCAACTGAGGAAGTGTTCATTCTGCCGGGTAAGAGGTGGAGGGGAAGACATACATTAGAAAGGTCTTCATGGAAGAAGTGAAGCTGAAGCAGAGACCCGAAAGACCATCAGTGTCCGTCAGATAAACAGGGACAGCAGCAGCCTCCCCTTATCTCAGGATGGTATTTATTGAGCACCCACTGAGGTAGAGAAATGATGAAGACCACCTAACCCCTGCCTTTGTGGGGGTTACAAATATTAACAGCTCAGAAAGTGATGTATGCACAGAAAAAAACCCAAAGCAGGGATGCTGGAGACCTCAGAGGTGGAATGACACAATGTTTTGAGTTTTCTTCTTAACATAAAATAAAGGAAAGGAAAGGCCTCGGATAAGGGGACAGAGTGCTGGTGATGGGGTAGGGTTACACAGAAGGACAGGACTGTGGTCTAGGTGGAGCTTGTCAGTGTGAGATCCCTCTGGACCCCTGAGGTGAGATGACATACAAACCTGGACTTCAGGTGGGAAGTCTGGTCTAGACAGAAATATTGAGGAGTCCAACATTTAGGAGGCATTGAAATCTTGGGGCTGAATATCCTTTGGGAGTGAGTATAGATCTGAGAGAGAAGAGGGCACAGAACCACACTCAGTATCCCAGAGTTTAGATCCTGAGAAAACAAGGTGTTCCAGCACTGAGACTGTCAGACCACCTTAGGAGCCAAGAAAGGTGTCCCAGGGCCAAATGGTGCAGGTGTTGTTCCCAGGCACGAGGGAGCTAGCACCTACATCGTCACTGGCGTGGGGTCAGGTGAGGAAAGGCCTGGGTGGTGACCACAGGTCATGTAACGGAACTGTACTCACTGACGGACTTTGGCTAGTCTTAACATTTTCAGTTTGCTCTAGTGGTTTCAAATCTTCGTATTTAAAAAATGAAATAAACCATTAAAGATACAGCGACTTCATCCCTGATGCTATGGCTGCACTCATAGCTGCCTTCACTCTGGCCTTTACTGCGCTTCAGTGACTGACACTCTGCTCTCCCTGAGAGCATCCATCACCCCACACTCCTGCTCCATTCTGAGGGCATCACTGCTCAGGTAGAATGAGATGGGAACTGTGCTATGTGGCCCTGGGGGTTATTCCCTGAGAGCCCTGGGTGTCTTTCTCAGACTCCGCCCCTGGGGAACTCCAGGGCCTGTATGGCATCCCAGCTCTGTGCACCTGGGGCCTTTTTCAGGTCCATGGGTGCCCGGGTCCTCTGCCTTTTCTATTTCCACTGCCCGTACCATGCCTCTCACCCCTCACCTCACTCCCTCACTCCACCAGCCTGGCTGGCTCCTGTGGCTTATGCGACTTTTAGCAGCAGTTGGTCTTAGTGTCCCTAACTATCCTGAACAGAACAAATCATTGCCTCGTTTTGGTTCCCATAGAGTATCTCTCTGTGTGTTTTATATTGTCTTTTGTTTACCTGTGTGCTGATGAGAACCAGGCGAGGTAAAAGATGAATGCTCTGCGTTCTTGTGATATCCCTACTCTATGCTCACGTAGCAAGTGCTTTCCTGAATTACATATAACCGCTATTTGCCTTTCCTCCCACACTCCACATGCTACACTGCCATCTCTCTGGGGGAGGGAGACTCCCTTTCATTTCCTACCCTGGGTGCTTAACAATATAGACCCAGTGTGGACCCTGGAATTAGATGGCCTCAGTGCAAATCAGGGTCTGTCACTTGAAAAGCCACTGAATTTCTCCGAGCCTCAGTTTTCTCACTTGTAAAGTAGAAATGATAATAGTATCTAGGTCATTGGGTTGCTGAGGGTATTCTAGGAGGAAATGCTTGTACAGCATTTAGAACAGTGCTTACTTAGCACTGAGTGAGAGCTCTGTGTTTGCCACCATTATTATAATTGCTAGATAGTAGTAGGTAGACAGAAAAACGGATGGCTGGGTGGCTCAGTCGGTTAAGCATCTGCCTCTTGATCTTGATCTCACAGTTTGTGCTCTGCGCAGAGAGCGGGGGGCCTGCTTGGGATTTTATGTCTTCTCTCTCTCTGCCCCTCTCCTGTTCATCCCCCCCCCCCTCAAAAATACATAAACTTTAAAAAAAAAAAGATGGACAGATGGGAAGGTGGGCGAATGACATACCTCTGTAATTGTGGTGTCTGCCTTATTCTTGGCTAATCATAGCTGCTATAGTTGGCTGAATTCGAAGTTGAAATCTTGTGAAATTTTGATATATTCCTTTATTTTTCTACTGGATTTTTTTAATTTAAATATATGAAATTTATTGTCAAACTGGTTTCCATACAACACCCAGTGCTCATCCCAAAAAGATGCCCTCTTCAATACCCATCACCTCCACCCCTCCTCCCACCCCCATCAGCCCTCAGTTTGTTCTCATTTTTAAGAGTCTCTATGCTTTTACTCTCTCCCACTCTTCTTCTCTCTCTCTTTTTTTTTTTTTTTCCTTCCCCTCCCCCATGGGTTCCTGTTAAGTTTCTCAGGATCCACATAAGAGTGAAAACATATGGTATCTGTCTTTCTCTGTATGGCTTTATTTCACTTAGCATGTAACACTCTCCAGTTCTTCCACGTTGCTGGCCAGCAAATATATTTCATTCTTTCTCATTGCCACATACTCCATTGTGTATATAAACCACAATTTCCTTTCATCCATTCATCGCTGATGGACATTTAGGCTCTTCCATAATTTATTATTGTTTTGAGAGTGCTGCTATAAACATTAGTACAAGTGCCCTATGCATCAAGTAATTCTGTATCCTTGTAAATTCTCAGCAGTGCTACTGCTGGCCTAGGGTAGGTCTTCATCTAATTTTTGAGGAACCCCACACTGTTTCCAGAGTGGCTGCACCAGTTTGTATTCCCACCAACAGTGCAAGAGGATTCCTGTTTCTCCACATCCTCTCCAGCATCTATAGTCTCCTGATTTGTTCATTTTGGCCACTCTGACTGGCGTGAGGTGATTCCTTTGATATATTCCTAATTCCAGTAGTGGACAAACAAGTGATTTTGTATCACTAGATGTCAATCACTATGTGTTATTTTGCAAAGTAGTTCTTGGTGAGACAGGAAATTTGGTGGATGGTGTGTGCTCTTTCCCTGCCTTCTGAAATTCAGCCCCAACCCTTCTCCCTTATGAATTTTTGTTAACTGTCTTCACAGCAAAAATAATATTAAGTTGATATCCCTTACCCTGCCTTGTCAAGAACATTAAGACTAAAAACACATAAAAATAAAAGGTAAAAGTCATAATTGAGTCATTTGCTTTTCTGAATCTGAATGCATCTGCATACCAGTTTTCACAGTGCTTTTTTGTATTCAAGTATAACGTTATTTTCCATTCCTTGGAAATTTGCTTTTTCATTTAGACAAACCTGTCTTGTTTAACTGTTCACCTGGAAGAAAATAACCAGCCTAATTTGATATTTCTTATCTAGGATAAAATAAAGATTCCCTCTTGAAATCATGAAAAAGTAAAGTCTGTTGCTTAAGTAAAGTTTCTGGCTTAGCAAAAGAAAAATGAGCACTTTCACTTTTTTGTGTGCAGGCACCTCATTCAGAAGCTCTCACCATTCTTGGTTCTCTTGTCTGCTTTCCAAACACCTACCGGGAGATCCCTTTGCTGCAGTCTGTGCCGGAAGTCAGTGAAGTCATCACAGGAACCGAAGACGTCAAGGTACCTGCTACCTTTGAGTGACTCTCAGGTTTATCATCTTCTAGTTCCAGCTCTGTGGCCATCGCTTCCATTATTGTGCATTGATCCCCTTATCCCTGAAAGTTCTGCTTTATTGTTTAAATGTTTCAGTAGTTGTTGTTTTCAGGGAATTAAATGTATCCGAATCAGAGCACATCGCAGTTATAACTGATAGGCTCCTTGGGTGTTTTTTATTAGGTCTGTTTATCATGCCTATGGATCCTAATTATGTAATGAATCATCCTTTATAATAATTTTAGGTTCAATTGTGCTGCATTAGTGCATCCAATGAGTTTATAAGGAATAATTGAAATAAACTAAATATTCAGTCCTGTTGTTAGCCTGATTAAATACTACTAATCATTTGAAATGTCAGGTTATTCATTCCTTAGAGAATAAAAGTAAGCATTTGTTCTCTCTTCAACTGACTTTGAGGCAAACAAATATGCTTTTCAAATCTCAGAATCTATCTTATCCACTTACGGTACATAATTATAATATATAATTTAATGTACAATATATAATCTAATTAAAGTAAAAGAAAACCGAGCTTTTCCTATCTGAAGTCTCAGTTGCTTTGCTAGGTTTTTATTGTGCACCCAGAAACCCTCTTCCCTACGCTGGCTTAATTGCCCAGGGAGGCCCTGGCTGAGACTGCAACCAGGCTGCTCCCCCGAGCCCTGTGTCTCTTCCCCCCAGGTCCTCCTTGGTCCTTCAGGAGCTCCTGACTTCCAGGAACACAGTCAGAACATGTGGGAAACCAACTACTAAACAAAGTTTTTATTTTACTTAATTTTTTGTTTTTAGCATTACCTCATAAATATTTTACTGAAGAATGCCACAGAGGAACCAAATGAATGTGCAAGGTAAATGTTGACAAAAAGGTAAACTATTTTAGGATTTTAAAATACAAATTTATGTGTGAACAGTTAATGTTAAAAAAAAACACTTTTTCACATTACTCATACACCCACTAATAAGTATACTAAAGGGGCACCTGGGTGGCTCAGTCAGTTAAGCATCCGACTCTTGATTTCAGCTCAGGTCATGATCTCACAGTTATGGGATCAAGCCCTGTGTCGGGCTCCACTCTGAGCATGGAGCCTGCTTAAGATTCTTTCTTTTTGTACCTCTGCACCTGTCCCTGCTTGTGTGCACATGCTCGCTCTCTCTCTCTCTCTCTCAAAAAAAAAAAAAAAAATTTAAGTGTAGTAAGAATTATGTCGAGAATGTGCTTTACTTAATTTTTTAAAAGTGTGCCGTTATTAAGTGAAAACAGTAAGGTGCAGAAGGTTATTATTACATTTTGTGAAAGAAAAAACAAGATTACAAATATATATGTGCACTCCCTGTTATTTTTAATGAAGAAGAAAATGGAAGGATAAACCAAAAACTTATACAAATGGTGTATGTATAGGGTAGTGATTCTCAACCAGAGGTGATTTTGTACCCCAGGAGACATTTAGCAATGTCTGGAAACATTTTAGTTGCCTCTGCCAAGCATCTAAGGTCGCTGGCAGTCTGTTACCAAGATAGGTTTTCTGGGCCACCTACATAATGAAAAGTTGCAACCTGTTCTTCCAGGGCAAAGCCCAAAGCTGGGAACACTGGTGGAGGGAAACACTATTTTCTTATCCCCTGCCTCCAACCCCATAAGGTCACCAGAAGCCCAGCTAAGCCTCTTGCTGCCCGGGAATCAGCTCCTACCCTGTTCTCTTTCTAACAGCCCATCAACCATCACCACCTTGTCAGCTCTTTGATGAATTTAAGAGGATTTTTTTTTTTTTTTTTTTTTTTTTTTTTTGGCGGGGGGGGGGGCGGTTATTTTTTTTACTAACTTCTTCAGTGGCTTTGGTGGATGGTTTAGTACACGTTTTCTAGTCTTCCATTACCAGAAGTTATAAATTCATTATCAATTTGTTCATATTAGAGTAACCTTGAATTTGGGGATAAACTCAATGTGGTTTATACAGTACTGGATCTGATTTGAGTAACATTTTGTTGAGTAAAGTTCCATTTATATTTATGGCCTGTAATTTTCTTTCCCCATCCTGTCCTTATCAGGCTTGATTACAGGGTTATGTCTTCTTCCAAAACGAGTGAAGTATTGTTTCATTCTCTTAAGTCAGCAAGAGTTTTTGTAAAATTAGAGTTTGTGCTCTTGTGTATTTAGACCTTGATGGTAAAACTATCTAAGTCTGGTTATTTATGAGAGGGTTAACCACTGACTTGTTTTCTTCCATGATTGTTTAGGAATTTTAAGGTTTTATTTTATTTGACAGCTTAGATAAACTAAAGTTGTCTAGAAATTTGTCCATTCCTTCTAAGTTTTGAAATACCCTTGCATTCATGATGGCTCCATTATCCTTTTGCTATCTTTTCGTAGCTCTATGCACTTCTTAATCTCTGACCCTTTTCTGTATTCTCTGATTTTTCTCACACATCTTGCCAAAGGTCTGTCAACTTTGTTAGTCTTTTCAAAGAATATACTTTTGTCTTTGTTCCAGCCTCTTTATTCTGTATTTGTTTTTATTTTCTACTTTCTGCTCTTTTTTATGTTTTCTTCTGCTTTCTTTACATTCTGCCACTCATTTTCTTTTCATCAGTATATTAATTCTGATATATACCAGTATATTCATTCAGTATACTAATTCAGTCTTTCTCCTTTACAGATACCAACATTTAAGTCCCTATGTTTATTTCTAAGTGCCACTTTATCTGAGTTCTCTATGTTTGATATGTAATATTTTTCCACTGAAATTTTTTCCAGTTTCCATTATGATTCCTTCACTGAGTCATGATTTATTTAGAAATATATTCCTTCATTTTTAAACACATGGTTATTTTTATTTATCTTTTTGCTGCTGATGTCTTAAAGGCATTGTAGATTAAATATGTTGTCTGCCAAGCAACAATCTTTGAAATTGTTGAGATTTGCTCTATGGCTCAATATGTAGTCATTTTCTGCACATGTCCTGTATATGGTTGAAAAGAATGTGTATACCATTTCTTCAGTTGTTGGGTGTAGTGCTCTAGATGTGTCCATTTGATTAATTTTTTAATCATGTCTTTCAAATACTTTAAATCCTTTCTAATTTTTTCATCATCTTGATCATTAACTGAGAAAGATGGATTAAGATATCCCACTATTATGGTACGTTTATTTCCCTTATATATCTGTCAATTTTTGTTTTATATATTTTGAAGCTATATTATTAGCTGCATAGAAGTATAGAATTATCAAATCTCTATATAGAATCCCATCTCTTTTATTTATTTTTGAGAGAGAGAGAGACAGAGTATGAGCAGGCGAGGGGCAGAGAGAGACAATCCGATGCAGGCTCCAGACTCTGAGTTGTCAGCCAGCAGAGTCCAACATGAGGCTTGAACTTGTGAAACCTCAAGATCATGACCTGAGCCGAAGTTGGATAATCAACTGACTGAGCCACCCGGGCGACCCTACCTTAAAGACTACTTATCTGATACTGATATGGATATTTTTAAATGATATTTTCTATCCTTTTATTTTTATTTTTTTTAATTTTTATTTATTTTTGAGAGAAAATACAAGTGAGCAAGCAAGGGAGGGGCAGAGAGAGAGAGAGACAGAATCTCAGACAAGCTCCACTCTGTCAGCACAGAGCCCTATGTGGGGCTCGAACTCATAAACCGTGAGATCATGAGCTGAGCTGAAACCAAGAGTCAGACGCTTAACCCACTGAGCCACTGAGGCACCCCAATATTTTCTATCCTTTTAAATTTAACTTTTCTATATTCTTCTCTTTTAAATGTCTTTGCAAAAATTGTACATATTTTATTTTATACATTTATACTGTCTGATTTTTATCTTTTAACTGAATCTTTAGTTCATTTACATTTGCTGCAATTACTGACATATTTGGATTTCTTTCATCTCTATATTCTTTGTATATTCTTTGTATTCTTTGTATTCTCTGTATCTTTATATTCTTTGTATTTCTTTCATCTTTATATTTTGTTATTTGTCCTCAGTATTCTCTCATTTTCTCCCTTTTCTCACCTTCATTCTTCCCTTCTCCTTTCCTTCCTTTCTTCCTTCCTTCCTAACTTCCTAACTTCCTCCCTTCCAGATGATTTTTCCCACATTCCATTTTTTCTCTAATTTCTTAGGAGTCATAAACTCTCTTTCAGTTTTCTTAAAAGTTACCTTAGAAATTTTAATGGGGCACCTGGGTGGCTCAGTCAGTTAAGCATCTGACTCTTGATTTCTGTTCAGGTCATGATCCCAGGATCATGAGATTGAGCCCCACATCGGGCTCTGTGCTGAATCCCACATCATTTAGGATTCTCTCCCTCTCCCTCCCTCCCTCTCTCTCTCTTTTTCTGTCTCTCTCTTTCCCCACCCCTGTCCCTCCCATGCTCAAGCACACACATACTCTCTTTCTCTCAAAATAGATAAACATTAAAAAAAAAGAAATTGTAATATGCATACTTGTGTTACTAATTCTGAAATTAGGCTGTCTTTACCCTCTTCCTAAACAATGTCAGGCCTTAGAATACAACCTTCTTATTTTATTCCTATGTTACCACGCTTCTCCTGTTCTGTCTCCCTCCTGCACCTAACTTCTGCAAGTTGGTGACTCGAGGTTTAGGGGTGGTCCTCTCCTCCCTCCATGACGCTCCTAGGTGCTCTTATTCATTCTAACTAGACTTTAAATTCCACCTACTTACTAATGACACTGAATTTATTTACCTGGCCTCTTCTGTGAACCCCTTATATATTCAGGCTTATATATTAAACTGCCTACTTGATACCTCAACTTGGATGTCTTAACACATACAAAGTTAACACAACCACAGTTGAATCCTTGAGTCTCCTGACCATCCCTCAGACTCCCCCCTTGGTAAAGGGCACCATCATCTCAGATTTTCAGTACAGAAACTTGGGGAAAATCCTTGATTTCTCCTTTTCACATATGCACCACATTCAAACCTTTAACATGTCTTAGCAATACCTTCCCCTCCCACTTTTTCCTTACTGTAGAAAGCCAAATGTCTGTGGAGTTAAAAATGGAATAGAATGTGTATGATATGCTCAGTCTTTATTAGCTGAGTATGAGAGGAGTTAGACAATGAAATTGAGTTCATGCAAGTGCAGATAAGCAGAAATATGATCAAGATTCCAAATAAATGGAGGAGAATCACGAGAGAAGATAGTTATAATTGTGAGTGATGATAATGTAGAAGAGTTCAGAAAAAAGAGTAAGTTACGTAAATTGGGTGGTGTGAGATGGGATGGTAGCAAACAGTTCCAGAAAGTGCGTTAGTGTACAAAGGAGAGTGAAGGTGGTATTGCCATTAGCTAAAAAAAAATTTTGAGAGATAGAACTCATTTGGGATCACAAAGGACACATTTGGGATACAGAGAACCTAACTGACAGGAACTCAAACACGTAAGGGGTAACAGAGTATTAGAATCGGAAGATGCTAGATGGGGATGCTAAATGATATGTTGGAAAGAGAAAAAATAGCATTGAAGAGCAGCTATAAGCTAGTGTGGCTTTAAAACTCACGGCAGGTGAGAGTGGTTCACATTAGGAAACCACTTTATGGGTCACAAAAGTTCTCTGTCATGCAGGGCTAATAGTTATAGAGTAATGCAGGTGTTCCTGAGAAATGAGAGATCTTTGCTCTGAATGAATTACACTTAACAGAAAGGTTAATGGGTTGTAAAAAAAAAAAGTATGTGTATTTATACACACACACACACACACACACACACACACACACACACACACACATTCAAGCATGCAAAGGAAGAGAGGCTCTTGAAGTGGTAAAAATATGATTGGGGGTATAATTCCAAGTTAGATTTTAGTGGGTTAAATAATCAGTTAAGCTGGGGGAAGATAAAAAGGCTTTGAAAGCATGTAGAATACATGGCAAAGAGCGCAAACTAAGAATACAAAGTGCAGTTTCTAGACTGAGAATAAGCATAGGGATGAGGCAAGAGGAGACAGTTCTATACAGTGAAGGAAGTTGAGGGTTCAAATCGTGTGGAATTCATGTATTATGCTGTTGTCAGAGAACCAAAGAAGGCCAGGCACACCTTATAAACTGGGCTGCCCATTTATACTGAGTTCATTTAAGTAGAAGGTGACATAGCCTCCAAAGGACTTTTAATAAACGTGTTCTGAAGCCCTTAGTCTATCTTAATTTAAAGAGGTGAGATTCCAGTGAAATATGGTGGTTTTAAAACCTCAAAATATATTTATTTTAATTGCTGAATTATACTGAATACAAAGAACTTTTACTGTGGAGAGCTGAGCAGTACATTCAGTTTAATTGGTACTGGATGTGACCTCTTATTACAAAGAACAACATATACATCCTACAGTTAACTTCGGTTCCAAGCAGGGACTTGAACCCCCCTTTTGTTCTGAAAGTGAGCAGGTTTGGGAGCAAGTATTTTAATTTTATATGTGGGCATTCAGAAAAAATTAACAGGAGTATGACTTTTTGATCATTGCAAAAGATAGTGGAATATATCAGTTCCAAAGAGAACTACCATTTAAAAATGATTTACAATTGAGAAAGGTAATTTTTAAAGGACTGTGTAATTTGAAGAAAGCTTTGTCCTCACTTATTGTTTAAAAGATAACAGTGCAGCTGATTCTGGAAGTTGTGTTCAAATATTCTTTACAATGAAATATAGGGTTTGTATTCTGTTTGTAGTAGGTGTTGTGTATTTTATTGTAGGGAAAACAATTACAAACTCAATTTCCAATGATTTTCTGAGATTCATGTCTTTGATTATTCGTCAAAACTATCTTGAAACAATACGGTGTAGTTAAAAATGTCAGCAAAAATAAAATGAACAACTCAGAAAACAACAGATGCTGGCGACTATGCAGAGAAACGGGAACCCTCTTGCGCTGTTGGTGGGAATGCAAACTGGTGCAGCCGCTCTGGAAAACAGTGGGGAGGTACCTCAAAAAATTAAAAATAGAACTACCCTACAACCCAGCAATAGCACTACTAGGAATTTATCCAAAGGATACAGGGGTGCTGATTCATAGGGGCACATGTACCCCAATGTTTATAACAGCACTTTCAACAATAGCCAAATCATGGAAAGAGCCTAAATTTCCATCAACTGATGAGTGGATAAAGAAGATGTGGTTTATATATACAACGGAGTGCTACTTGGCAATGAGAAAGAATGAAGTCTTGCCATTTACAGCAACATGGATGGAGCCGGAAGGTATTATATAAGTCAGTCAGAGAAAGAAAGATATCATATGTTTTCACTCATATGTGGATCTTGAGAAACTTAACAGAAGACCGGGGAGGGGAAGGGAAAAAATAGTTACAAACAAAGAGGGAGGGAGGAAAACCACAAGAGACTCTTAAGTCCAGAGAACAAACTGAGGGTGGATGAGGGTGGGGGAGAGGGAAAATGGGTGATGGGCATGGAGGAGGGCACTTGTTGGGATGAGCACTGGGTGTTGTATGCAAACAATGAACCACAGGACTTGACCCCAAAAACCAAGAGCACACTTTACACACTGTATGTTAGCCAATTTGACAATAAATTATATTTAAAAAAAAAAAGATACTCTCTCTCTTCCTCTGCCCCTCTCCTCCACTCGTGGGTATGCTTTCTCTCTCTCTCTCTCTCTCTCTCTCTCTCTCTCTCTCTCTCAAATTTAAAGAAGATGTCAGCAAAAATAACTGATGTATGGGCTGTGACTATTAACGGGAAGTATATCATTTACTTATTAAATAATTACTAACCAATATCAGTATTTCTATTTGTCCTTACCCTTTTTTTCTTAGGAAGACACTCTGTTAGTGTATGTGTAATTTTTGCTACTTTGTAAAAAAAAGATTTAAAATACTTTGTCACATGAAAATACCAAGAAAACATGTTAAATTTTTTGAGAATTTTCCTCTTTTCCTTCTTTTCCAAAAGATGCATCGCCATTTGCTCCCTCGGGGTCTGGATATGCGAAGAGCTTGCCCAGTGTACGAGCCATCCTCAGCTGAAAGAGGCCATCAATGTGATAGGTGTCACTTTGAAGGTATTCCCAATTCGTGATGTGTATTTGACAGTAATCTGTATCCCAGATATTCAACCAGTTCTAGTTTGAATTAGCGCCATCACTATTTTTTCCCTATATCAGAGAGGGGTTTTAAATCAAAAATTGTTTTTATGAGAGCCATGCTGAATGTTCTGTGAGGCTCACAAAAGAGGCCACCAATAGCTGCTTCCCCACTGGTGGCTGAGCTGTCCTGGACTGACCCCTTTGCCTGAGTGGGGCTCCTCTGTGGGCTGGGCACTTCCTGTGGCAAGTGACAATTGGTAATAGTGACAAGAAAGTGCGATTTCATGCCCTGGCCTCTGCAGTGGGACTGGGAGAGACCTGAGTACTCGCCACCTGACTGGGCCTTCACGCTTTTAGGATGTCTTTCTTCCTTTGCTTTGTTAATGAAAAGAGGGAGTGTTTTTTGGGGTTTTTTGTGTTTGTTTGTTTTTTGTTTTTTTGTTTTTGTTTTGCCGTTGACTGGGTTCACGTGCTGGCCCACATTCATTGCAAAGTCAATACTTCAGACAGCTCTGCAAGGTAGATGGTACAATCACTATGTCCCACCAGAGGAAAGCAAGGCCCAGAGAAATCCAGTCCTAAGCGCACAGGCACACAGGTATAAAGGATGGAAGCAGCACTGAGAGCAGATCTGTGTAACGTGAAAACAAAACTGAACTTTTATACATACTGTTAGGCCACTTCCTAAACCAGGGCTCAAAACCTGCCAGGTCCCTCTCTGGCTCCTGTTTAGAGATGGTGGTAATAATTAGCACTGCTGTTATTATACCCCCCAGAACTGGTGAGTGTCTAGTCCCTGCCAGGCACTGTACTGGGGGTTTGTGGAAGTTCTCAGCTGCTAGGCACTTGTCCCACTTTACAGTGGAGAAGCTGAGGTACAGGAAGGTCAAGGAGCTCTTTCCAGGCTCTGAATCCTGGTTAAGCCAAAGTTCAGACCCTAAACTGTGCATCTGATACCAGCGTCCAGGCTCATGCCCGCCCTTCTCTACTGCCTGTCATGTGTTGCTGTAATAGTAACAACCATTGTAGCTGACACTGGGACAGTCATCACCAGGCCAGTGATAGAGCTGTGTCACCTTTGTGCTTCAGCCCACAGGATAACCAGCCAGGGACATCCCCTGCCCATGGCTTGGCATCCGGCCCTCTGGTCTAGCCCCTGCCTGTCTTTGCAGCCTGACTTCATGGCAGTGCTCCTCACCTACTCCCCTTCCTGACCAAGTCTTATGTCCTCTGACCCCCTCCCACCTGTGCACCCCATCCCCCATTCTCTCCTCCACAACACCTGGGAGTGCCGGTCAGATCCGGAGAGCTGGAGAAACACTTGCTGCTGATCCCTGTGATGAGGAATGGAAAATTGATCAAACCAAAATATCACTTAGGAGGACTCCCTCTGGCCTGAGCAGGGTGCTGACCTTTGTTGTTCCTTTTAATCCTTAAAACCACCCTCTGTGTGAAGGCTTACTGCCACCTCTGCATCACAGATGTGGAAAATGAGCTGTTTGGGAAATAGAGAGTCTGCCAGGGTCAAACCCAGGACACCCTGTCCCCATGTCTGGGCTTTTCCCTAATTGCAGTGTATAAGACACTCCAAAAGCCATGGTGAAATATTCACATATAACTATTACAGTGAAAAAAAGTTGGATATCAATAGTATATCTATGCAGAGTGTAATTCGTTTTTTAATATCGTATTTTCTCAATTCTAAGATCTATTTTTCCAATCCTAGTTTTTTTTTCCTAAATCTAGAAAGGTATATTGCATGTGCTGTGGCTTCCCCACCCCTACTCCCTTCCTGGAAAAGCTGTTAATAATTCAGTGGTGTCTCAGAGTGAAGGAGATCTGTAGATAAATCTTCTACCCTATGTGGTTCTATGCAGTATAGATAACAAGAGTAGAAGGATATATGACTTACGTTTTCCTGTTGTAGTTCTCCATAGTTTTTGTACAATTATGAGGAAAACATAGAGTACCAGAAAAAACGTAGCTGCCATGCTTGGAGCCGTGCTCTATCAGGGACATCCCGCCACAGTGTGGGGGCTGTTCCGTTGAAGCCTGTACCCCAGGATGATCCTGATCCCCCCATTTTGGCAATAAAAGAGAGCACAGCTAAAGAAGGCCAAGGACCTTGCTCCGGCTTGAATTGCTAAGAAATCAGAGGGCCGAGATCAGCCATATCAACCTTCCTTTAACCAGTGTGAATAGCAGAGGGAAACTCATGGATGCAGTTCCCGGACGCTGGGACAACTCCCTGCCTGCCTCCCTCCTAAGCCTGTGTTCCTGTGCCAGTGGCACTTTCACTGAAGGAGGGAGCACATGAATCTAAGAGAACCGAGAGCTATCAGGAAAGGAGTTGCCACGGGGAGCAAGGGGGACAGCAACAAGTCTTAAGAAGAGGGACCCCAGGGAGGCTCAGGGCTCTACTAGGAGGGGGAGCATCTGGCGGACTAGAGAAAGAGGCCCAGCCCCAGCGGCACAGGGTGCATGAGGCCAGAAAGGGCTTCCTGTCTTATGGGTTCCACATGGCTCTGGGCACCACTCTGCTGTGACCCTGCCCTTCAGGAACACTTGATGAGGCTGATCCAGGTGTTCCCTCAGATGCAGGAAGGGCATGGTCAGAGAAGGCTGGGAAATGCTCCCTAGAAGGTATCCATGAAAAACAGTGAGAGCAGAGCACTGCCTAGCCGCCTGGAGAATTCTACTCAGCTGGTTGTGTCTGGTGTGGGAGTGTGTGGGTGGGGGCGGAGGGTTCTAAGCCTGAGCTGTAGTCACAGACCTAGGTGTCCCCTCCAAGGTGGGGGCCGAAGGCACTAGAGTGGCAGCTTCGGCTCTGGCTCAGGTGAGCTGCCAATCCTGTCTCCTTGGCAGCCCAAGTGAGAGGAGGCCCAACCCGAGCCCCACCCTCAGCCTCACCTGTTGTTCCTTCTCTTACCCTATCTCAGGAGACGACATTGACTTTCCCCGCCCTCCTTACTTCAGTCCTAGAGTCCTGCTGCCCTAGGGCCATCCCTACCCATCCTGTCTCCCCCTGCCAATAACTGAGCCTCCTGGTGCCTTCCAACTCCCTGGCCCTAGTCTGGCCCCCACAGATCTGTCCTCCCTCCTGCCACAGGAGGAATCTGTCTGCACAGGGTCTGACCAAGTAGCCCACAGACTAGAGCACTATGCATGGCGTTCAGGGACATATGTGAACAGGTCCCTGCCTGTTCCCAAGACTGTTAGTCCTTCAGAGTAGAGACTGTATCTGCCCGGTTCATCTTGTGCCCTGTACTTTTCTTTCTTTCTTTCTTTTTTTTCTGGCTTAAACAACATGGGAACATATTGATTCATAAAGCTGGAAAATACATGGGTAAGGAAGAGGTCAGGGTTGGTTGATTCAGGAGATTAACAGTCAACACTGACCTAATTGTCTAACTCTACTGCTCTGTAGTCCACAGAGGTGGCTTCATGTTAGGGTGGGATGCCTGCAGGGTTGGAGGATGTCTGCCAGTAGGAGTCAGGGTCCCATGTGTCCTTGTTTGTGTTCTGCAGGACTTCCATCACAGCATTCTCGTAAGAGGTACTGAGATGCATTAGTCGAGGTTTCTCGCTCATCCCTGTACCAGCGACTGAGACTGGGAATAAAATCTTCTGATTCGTTTAAGCCTGTTAGGGCACATTCCTGGAGCTGAGAGAGATGGCCTGCATGGGAGAGGGAAGGCACCTCAAAATAGATCTATTAGTTAAGGAGTGAGGGAGGAATTGATACTGGCCAAGCAACCACACATGTGCACCATAGAGAGGACTGAGAGCAAGAGATGCTCTGTAAAAGGAAAAGGTGAAGGCATGTGAGTGGGGAAAGCAGTAATGAGAAGAAGCTGAGCAGTGTGTAGGGAAGGGGGGCACTCTGGGCAGAAGGAGCTCCCAGTACAAAGGCCCTGGGGTAGAAACGAGTTGGTATATATCCTAAGAGCAGGAAGATGCTGGCATGTTGGAGCAGAGTGCAGTGTTGAGCAGTGAAGCAGTATAGTTGACACACAGTGTGATGTTAGTTTCAGGTGTACAACACAGTGATTCAACAACCTATCCTTCCTGCTGTGCTCCTCACAAGTGTAGCTACCACGTGTCACCCTCAGTGTTGGCACATTGTCATTACTCCATGAATATGTGCTGAATGAGTGAGTGAGTGAATGAGTGATTTGTCTCTCCCCACCACCGCCCACAGCATTCACGTGTCAGTAATAGCATCCCACCTGCAGCCCTCCAGCCTGACCTTGCCTTCCGCAGTGCCCTACCACCTGCTGCCTTGAAGGAAACACTCTCCCTCTGCCTTCTCCTGGCCTAGCCTCAGCTCTCCTTCCACCCTTCCCCCATTCTCTCTACCACCTGCCCCCTCTCTTACACCTCATCCCTCTGCCCAGAGGCTCTTTGTCTGGTCTACCATAGCTCTCATTTCCTCGTTGTCCTCTTGTCTGCTCCCAGCTTCTAGTTAGATGTAAGAGCCATGCCAGCCTTATGTTGCCACCCCACGACCTGACCCCTGTGATGCAGTGGAAACACATCCAGTGGCTATTCCTGTTCTTCACCTTAGACTCGTCATGCGTTACTTCTCCGGGGGGGTGTGCAAGGCATTAGGAACATAATGGTAAACAAGATGTGGAAAAATAAACACAAAAGAACAGGCAGACAAATACAGAAGATGGGCTTGATAGCCTTAATGCCATGAGGAAAGCACGAGAGCGAAGCAGGATGGAGCTGAAGAGCTGGAGCAGATAGACTGCCACTCCTTGGGATGGGCAAGGTGGCCTCACGGAGGAGGCCTTTAGTGCCATGATCTGAGAGATGTGGCAGAAGCCAGCATCCCAGGCAAAGCAGGGAGTAAGGGCAAAGGCCTTGGGACAGAAGCAAGCCAGAGTGTTTGCGGGGTTGAAAGAGGCTCATGAGCATCAGGTCATCTGAGGCCTAGAGGCCAGGCTCTGAGAGCCCCTTGAGGGCAGACGCTCTTGCTCTGGGTGCACTTTGCACCTATCAGGAAGGAGTATTTGGAAAGTGTTTATTCTACAGAGTTCAAAGTAATCCCCTTTGCCTTACCTTCTTCCTCGTCCTGTACATTTGCACTGAGCTGCTAAATGTTGACTTTTCCATGTCTGTGTGGTGCTGAGGTCAATTGGTACCTGCTTTATGTGACTTGGAGCTCCTGGTGTGGAAATAACTAAGCTACATATCCAGGGGTTTCCTTAGACACCCAAAATCAGCGACAAACCTTTTGGCTTGGGTAACCCCAGGTTCTGGGCAGGGAGAGAGGCACAGGGTGTCTTTTATCTGTTACATCCATCCAGCCCAATGGTCTTTGTGAGTACCGTCCCTCCCCTTTGACATGCCATCTAGGAAGAAATGGGAGCATCCAAAGGTCCTTGTACACACACCAGGCTCCAAAAACACACTCAGAGTAATTGAATAAATACACCATAACATAGGGTTATATTCTCACAGTTCCCAAATTTTCACATTTCTTAGTACATTACACATGTGGGTGAAGTTTAATTTTATAAGGTGGGAAATCACTTGATCACTTCATGTTTCTATAAAATGAAGATCATATCTACCTTGCAGAGCTGTTAATGAAGAATTGTCAAAACTATTATTTATGCAATCTGAATGAGGCACTTGAAATTATGGTTTTAATTTTCAGATGACTGAACAACAGCTCTTTGTTTCTATAGAATGTTAAGGAAATTAATACATGTGGACAAGAGGCAGTTATAGGATGGTACAAGTGCAATGTGGGACCAGGACACATTTTTCAAAAATTTAATGCGTAACAAGGAAATGTATCCTAAACATCGCTGGAAAGAAATACATGTTTTGTTCTTCCTTAGGACAAATGCACATGTTAAGTTCAGTCCTTTAGTTTGGGGTTCTGTTTCCTGTTACAGTTTCCTAACAAAGTCGTGGCTCAGGTGGCCTGTGATGTTCTTCAGTTGCTGGTTTCCTACTGGGAAAAGCTTCAGATGTTTGAAACCTCTCTGCCTCGGAAAATTTCAGAAGTAAGTCTTTGTCCTGTAATGCTAACACATAAGCGTTTCCCAGTTATTGTATTTGGTGTTTAATTAATTACAGATACTCAAATAATTGTTAGAGTACTGACTATTAAATTGCCATACGGGTCATTCATTTTCAGATTAAATTGCACCGGCTCTTCTCAGCTGTGATTTCAGGCACTACGTAAAGAAGCCACCAGTGTTCCAGGGCAGAGTTTTACACTTGGGGAGTTTGAAAGGCAGACACGACCACAACAAAGAGACCTTTTGTAGATTGGGCTTCATTCATCGAGAGTAATTTGGATGGTGCCAACAAGGAGTAGGCAGCTGGTTATGATGCCCTCCGTGCAGGGGCGGGGGGTGGGGGGACTGTTGAGTGAAACAGGAGTCTCTCCTAGACTGAAGCCCCAGATCATGCTCTCTGCCATAGCATGATTACCCAGCTGTAATGAGATTACTGCTGTAATACCCTCTTGGGGGTGGGGGGGGGGCGGTGGTAATTGGTGGGAGAGAAAGATAGAAGGAACAGGAAGAATCATCCCAGTGATGATATCCCGGAGGCTGGTTGCATTTGAGGGTGCTTAGTTGTAAAGGAACAGGTACCCTCACCTCTGTACATACCTGAATATAAGGCCCATCCATTCCTGCTAGTTTTTAAAGCTACGCTTCTTATTTTATTTTAAAGTTTGTTTGTTTTGAGAGAGAGAGAAAGAGAGAGAGAGAATGAGCAGGGGAGGGGCAGAGAGAGGAGAGAAAGAATCCCAAGCAGTCTCCAGGCTGTCAGCTAAGCCGAAACCAAGAATCAGATGCTCAGCCAACTGAGCCACCCAGGCACCCCTAAAACTACACTTTTTAAAACGTGCCCTGTTCTTTGCGCATCCAGTGGTAACTCTTCAAGGAAATGTGATTTGTCTCTGCGTGGTATTACAGGGGGAGAGAAGAAGTGATACTGATTTATTTCCTCTCGGCCCTAGACAGATTTCACCAGCGAGATCACTCTGTTCTCCCCAAGAGCTTAGGTGACCTAGGGCAGAACAGAGGTTTGGACATAGGGATAGAAGATGCCGCAAGTTATAAAGTTGGGTTTTAGGGCAACTGTACACAGTTGACCTTTGAACAACATGGGTTTGAACTGCATGTATCTATATGTGGATTTTTTCTAATAAATATAGTACACTATATATGTATTTTCTCATCCTTATGATTTTTTTAATATTTTTTTCTGTCTGTTTTTTTAATATTTTTAATATTTTTTTAAATATTTTATACAACATAAAATACATACAACATACAAAATATGTGTTAATCAATGATTTATATTATTGTTGAGGCTTCTGGCCAGTAGTAGGCTATTAGTAGTTAAATTTGGGGGGGGGAGACAAAAGTTATACATGGATTTCTTCCTGTGCAAGGTCAGGGGGTTAGCACCTCTCACGCTGAGTTGTTCAAGAGTCGATTGTAGTTTATCATTGAAAGAGGAATAGCTTTGAGAAGGAAAGGGGTGCTTTTATACCAGGATAACAGGTGGAGACCTGGGGTGGTTTATAAGAAAATCAAATGGGAGCATTTTCATAGTTATTTTTGAAAATATTTTTTTTTACTTTCATTGCATTAAGTGCGGAGACTGATGATGGGGATTGTGTGACCTCAGAGAGAAATGTCCCTTCCTCTGGGGCCCCAATTTCACCACCAGGAGAGTGGAATAGAGACGAGGCATGGCTCTATGACTTTCTCCCGATTTTCAGGATCACACAGAGCTCTAAACTGGCTCTTGGCTTCTTATCACCTTCCTCAAGTGAACTGGCACCAAGCTGGGTTTAGTGCAAGGCCATCTTGAGACTCTTATCATATGGTTTCCTAAACTATTACTATGGTCTGCTTGATTAGAGGTTTGTCTTTTATGCAGATCCTTGTGGCCACAATTGCTTTTCTTTTACCAAGTGCAGAGTACTCCTCAGTGGAAACAGATAAGAAGGTAGGTGGCACATCAGCTAAGTTTTCCCCAGTCTGTTTTTTTTTTTTTTAATGTAAGATAAAATGAAAAATAATGTTACACGCAGGGATATCCTTTATTATTCTTTTGTATTGGTCCTGTCTCCCCTGTGAAAACTTTATTTACTCATTCATTTCTTCTGTATTTGTGTGTCCACTGAGTAATTACTATCGTGCAGGGACAGTTCTGTTGTTTGCTGTGACATGTAGTGAAGTTTAAAAGACTGCAATGTACAGTATTGGGCCTGTTTCCTCTTCCAGTTTATTGTATCCTTGCTACTCTGCCTCTTGGACTGGTGCATGGCGTTGCCAGTGAACACCCTTCTCCACCCAGTGTCCACAGTAGCCCTGGAGGAGCAGCACTCGTGCAGAGCCTCTTTGCTGGATTATATCTATAGGGTGAGTCTCCATTTGTGCCTCATGGACATAGAGTATAGACTTAAGCATCAGAGAATCGCCCAAATATGTCTGTGCATTTATTTATTTATTTGTGCCCTTTTGGAAAAGATATGGGGAGAGGTGAAACATTTTAAAAGAAATGAATAATTTAAGGAGTGAAAACAGGTCAGAAGTAATTGTAGAGAAGCAGTGGTTACCAAGTGAAAGAAACATGCATTTTCACATGACTGCCATCTTTAAACAACTGCAGTTTGATCAGAATCCCCAATTTTCATGTAACATGGCCTATCTCTACTTAATTTTTAAAAGAAGTGTTTATATTTTAGGGATATTGACATTCTTAGTTTGACAAAATTGTTTTATCAATTGTTTATCAAAAAGTATAAAGGTCTCAGTAATCCCTTTGCTTTACAAGATCTTAAGAAATACACTAATTAAGGAAATATATCACATCAAAGTTTCTAGCTTCATCATTTTTATGGTACTTAAAATATTCAAATTTCAACCTCTACTGATGACTGGGTATGGTGTTTGCTCTGGATCCTTTATATCGCCCTTCTATATTGGCTTTACAGTCTGTCCTGTGAAAGCTTTATTTATGAATTTGGCATTTGTGTATCAATTGAATAATTAGTACTCAGGGACAATTCTGTTGTTTATTTTTTTTTTTTAATTTCATCTATTTATTTTGAGGGGGGGCAGGAGGGGCAGAAAAGGCAGGAGAGAGAGAGAATCTCAAGCAGGTTCCACAGTGTCAGCACAGAGCCCAGTGTGGAAATCAAACCCACGAACTGTGAGACCATGATCGGAGCTGAAATCCAGACTCGGACGCTTAACCGATTGAGCCACTGAGGTGCCCCTGTTTTTAATTGTTTTAGTAAGAAACCTTTACTAGTAACCTTTAAAAAAATAATATTCCAAGTCATTAACTGATTACTGTGTTGCCTTATTTTGAAATGTATTAAATATAAAACATAGCTGAAATTCTACTAAAAAGTATTGTGTACTTTTAAATGGTTTTTTAGTGGTCAGAGATTTTAATAACTATGTTATTTTTAATTCATTCAAAGATTTTAATTCATTAGATACTCTGTCATTTCTGTGGTTTATAAACCTATGTAAGGCTTGGCTTGACAACCTAGAGTAGCCACAGTCATTTAAATTTGTCTCTTTTCTAACATTTCTTTTCTTAAAAGATTTCTCTTAAAATTGTTTTACCAATAAAAATGTCCCCTCCTAGTTAACATGAGTCACAAATTTATTGAACAATGTGATTTTATCTGTAAAGGAAACTTTTTATTGAAGTATAATATGCATCCAGTCATAAGTGAGAGCTTGATGAATTTTCACAAAGCAAGCACACCTGTGAAACCAGATCCTGGCTGCAGAAACTGAATAGTCTCAGCATTACAGAAGGACCCATGCTGGCTCCCTGCTGATTACTATCCCCATACACATACCTGGGCAGCAACTAACCTGTGTAACGGTGTAGATTGTTTTGAACTTTGTGTAGCTGGATTTATGCAGTATGTGCTTCTGTGTCTGATGCCCTTCACTCAACATTATTTTCAAGGGGTTCATTCATTCATACGGTTGTGAATAGTTGTGAGTTTTTCACTCATCACTCTTTAGTATTACACAGTAAGAGTACGCCATGATTTAGATATCTATTTGGACATTTGGGTAGTAGAGTTTGGAACTGGAAAAAGAAGGTCTGTGAACATTCTGGTGGACAGAAGCAGGACTTGGGTGTGTGCGATCACCCAGAATGGCAAAATAAGCACTTTCTAACTTTTACTTTCCTTTTGTGTTGAAAATATATTTATTGGTATTGATATAAAAGGAGAAAAATAACCTTGCAAATAGCAGGAAGATAATTTAGAATGGAAAGGATTCTATGTTCTCAGGTATTACCAAGCAAGAGTCCTACCTCCTCAAAGTGCTGTTGGCAGATTGTCAGGGACAGGATGTTCATGGCATCCATGGCACACATTGCTTTTTACAGGTTCTGCACTGCTGTGTGTGTGGCTCAAGCACATATACTCAACAGAGTCACTACACACTGACCCTGGCCGACCTGTCATCCCCGGATTATGACCCCTTCCTGCCACTGGCAAATGTGAAGAATTCGGAGCCAGTCCAATATCATTCATCAGCAGATTTGGGCAACCTGCTCACAGTGGAAGAGGGTGAGATTCTTCAGAACATTAATTCTCATGGGCAGGAAAAGGAAAGATTGTAATCTTTTGCCCATGCTTGCTGCATTGTTTTTTAAAATCTAGTTATTAAAATTCTGGTTTCTAGACCCCTATGTGATAGCAAATTCTGCTTTCCTTGTTTCTTTTTTTCTGTTTCTTCTCTGTCTCTTTTCCCATCTTAGTTGAATTTTGTATTGAGGACCTGTGTCAGACCTATGAGACCCACAAAAACAGCTCATTTTCTATCCCCAGGGAACTTAACATGTAACTAGAGAGACAGGATAAATGCAGAAGGACTCATTTGTGGATCAGTAGCACCATGGGGACTTCCCATGGGGAAGGACTTAAGCCAGACTTAGAAGGATGAACAGACTTTGAAAGGATCTGGTCGAGTGTTATAGACTAGGAGAGCATTGAAAGAGAGAGGTGGGGATTTACATGCCACAGTTTGAGGCTCTGCTCGTGGCAGGGGGTCTATTTTATTTTATTTTATTTTATTTTATTTTATTTTATTTTAGATTTTGTTTTTAAGTTACCTGTACACCCAACATGGGGCTTGGACTCACAACCCTGAGACCAAGAGTCGCACGCTCTGCCAGCCGAGCCAGCCAGGCACCCCCAGAGGGTCTGTTTTAGGATATGTGGGTATTGTCAGGATTAGGGAATGCTGTATGTCCTCCTCATCCATGCTTCTTCCTGAAATGACAAGAGCCTATCTCCGGGCCTTGAAATGTAGTTAGAATGTGGGTGTATCATCTGTACATGTGAAATAATTGCATAGAACCAAACATACACACACACAAGGGCATGTACACTGAGTAGACTCTGAATATTAATGAAGTGTATCAGTGTCAAAATTTCCAAATTGTGATACTGTCCTATAGCTATGCTATGTAAGCTATTACCAGGGGGATGAAGGATATTTGGGATCTCTCTGTATTATTTCTTATAAATGTATGTCGGTCTTTAATTGTCTCAAAGTTAATGTGGGCGTGGAGTGTTAGATCATCCATGAAAATGGTATGGACTTTGCAAGTTAAAACCTAGGCCCAAGAATGAACTTTGGGGGTAAAAACATCCTTAAAGAAAAAGGAATGAGGGAATGTCACCAGGAAAGCAGTCATGGAAATGGAGAAAGAACCATGAAAGAGTTCTGAGAAGTGAAGAATTCACTTCTGAGGGAAGAAAGGGAATAAAGAGCCAAGGAAGGTCAGCAATGCCCCATGCTTCAGAAACATCAGGGAGGGTGGAGCCAGAACAGGAGCTGTTCTATTTCCCAACTAAGCACTGGGTGGTGGGTTTTGCTGAGTACTTTGGGCACGGCAGTTAGTCTGTAGCCAGATAGCCGGAGCAGGTGATTTGGGGATGTCTGTTCAGAACCCGCAGACATTCCTGTTGGAGCCTTTGGTGGACAAAGGAAGAATAGTAGCCAGGTGAGAGCATGGAGTCCAGGGTAGTGCTTGCAAGACTGCAGAATCTGGAGTATGGTTCAGGTCAAGGGGAAGGGCACAAGCAAGGTGACAAGGAAGAGAACAGAAGTGAGGGCACCAGTCAGGGGCAAGGGCTCTGGAATCAGTCAGTCCTGATTTTATAAATGAGCACACTGAGGTGAGGGATTTTCCCAAGGGTATAGAAGCCAGAAGTAATGGAGGTGAAATTTGAATTGAAGATTTAATGATCAGGTTTCTGAAATAGCACAGCATTTAACTGAGATTTTTCCACAGAGTAAAGACTTACATTTAGTTGTGCTGGTGGACAGTACACGGCACATGTTCACACTATTGTTTACCTCCATTTGCATAATCATTTAGTTGTCTTTTTCTGGACTTCCACAGTTTTTTTAAACTGCAATATTTCTTGATTTTTTTTCCCTATGGTTAGAAATTCAAACCATATCTTAAAAAAAAATAATCAAAATGACCCATGATCTGTTTTTTTTTTTATTGGTTCCTACCATGCAGTCTATGTCTTAGAAGAAAAAGAACTTACTTTTTCCTAAAGCCATTAATTATAGTCTCATCCCACATGACTGTCCTTAAAATAAGTTCAGCACATATTATGATCTGTCTCTTGAAAATAGTCGGAGATTGATAGGTTAGTGAAAAACAAGAAACCTAAAAATGCACATTTAAATTTTCTGTACTGCCTTTCTTTTGATGTACAACACTCTTTGACTTGAGTATTCTCCAGAAAACCTTAGGACCTTGTGCAGTCTTGTCCTACCCTAGTTCTGTGGTGCTAAAAATAATTATTTGAATTTCGGTGGCAAAGGAGTTTGAAAATTCACCAACAGTTTAATTACATACAAAAGCAAAGCAGCTTAAAAACCTGTTGGCACACACACCCTTGCTGAGTAAGTACATCCTCTATGAAATGGGAGAACAATTAAAGAGGACACCTGAAGTATTTTAGGTTAAACAGAAATGTGCTCATATTTGAGTTTTTTTTTCATTCGATGTCATAATTCGTCATTCATAACCAAGCTATTTATTCTCCCATGTTTCTGAGATGCAATATTATATTTTTATTTATTGTTTTCAAATGACCCTTTCACCCACTGTTATCTACTATTTGACATAAATACTACTTTCAAATAGTCACAGACAAGAGACACATCTGCTTCCCCACAGTTGAAGTGGCTACTGGCCCAGATCGAGGAAAAGACACTGATGGTACTCACAGGTGCTCAGATTTCTCATTATTAATGCCTAATTGCTTTAAAAAGAAGGAAAGGCGGGAACTGTAAAAAATGAAACTTAAAAGACATACTGAAATTACTGCTTTTCTATTTCATTTCTAAGTTTAGCAAAATAAGATAAATATTTGGATTATATTTTTTTAATGTTTATTTACTTAGTTTTGAGTAAGAGTGTGAGTGAGGTGGGGCAGAGAGAAAGGGAGAGAGAGAATCCCAAGCAGGTCCCATGCTGCCAGCACAGAGCCCAACTTGAGACTCAAACTTACAAACCATGAGATCATGACCTGAGCTGAGATCAAGAGTCAAACACTTAACCAACTGAGCATGTCCCGGATTATATTTTTTTAATTATTTGTGGAAGTTACAAGATTGCTTTTTCACAAATGGAGTCTAGATTTTCTCTTTATTTTCCAGGGAACTCACAGGCAGTTAATTTAGCTGAAGTTGCCCAGGGAAGAACAATTTTTATTTCACAAATGTTCCCTTTCCTTACTCTTCAGTGCCAAAGATACTTGTTTTTTTTTACTGGGTGTGTCGTGGTTAATGAGTTGATTGGTGTGACTCCAGTTAACTTCCCACTGTAGAATTCAAACACATTTATTAAAATACAAATTTGTATCTATCTCAAATTGAAAGCACGACCTTTATAAGAGGAAGCAGAGGAAAGTTGCTTTTCCAGTTGTTGTGTGCTTTGGGCTTTACCAAATTGGACCTTTGTCGCTAGTTCCAGAGCCTGCTCCATCCTGTCATCACCATGTAGTGTCTTACACCACGGACTCCTGAGCCCCCAGCTGGCCCTACCTTTGTTGTTTGGGGCATTAACATTTCTGATGGAGCATATATTCATGTGGAATGATAAGCATGAATAAAAAGCATCTGTAACTTTTGAAAAAGTTAATATGGACACAAAAGGAAAAGCATTCATAACTGTGATTTCAAGGGAATTAGTTGAGGTGTTTAAATTTCTCAGCTGTCTGGAAATCATACACTCTTCTACGAGTGTCAAGAAGGAGAGTTCAGTGTCAGAGATGGATGTAGATGACCTTTATTTATGAACACTGAAGTTTTTATGTGAAGTTTTATTTTGCATTGAAGACAGATGATTTCTTGTTCATTGAATAGCAAAAATTAAGAAGAAATTCAAGAAAAGTCAGGACAATCTTGTTCTCCTCAGTCATCACACAGAATTTCTTATATTCTAGAATTTGATTGTATATTTCTGGGATTTATACATCATCCACTTGATGTTTTATAGATAAGTCTGTTGAATTTTTACTGTCTGAGAGGGGAGGTATTTAGCATGAGAAAGCATATTTATAATTATTTTAATTAATATTTGATTTTTCATTTTGTGAATTTAGAAACCAAGTATTTCCTAAACCTTTAAGCCAAAAGTATAAGTCTTACTTTGCTTAAATATCTAGTGATATTTTTTGTTGAAATTAAAAGATTTCATTTTCACCTGTGCTTGCATTAATACACAGTTATTTTCTAAATGTGGCAGCGTACAATTTCCCTGACCACTCTGAAGCTTAAGTACTTGCTTCACTCCAAGACCATAGATCAGGTTCTCTGCTTCTTCCTTCCACCTCCAACATTTCACAGGGCGCATCTTTACATGCTGTGTCAGTCTTTCTACACAGCCTTAAAAATTTTGTAAGTCACTTGCTCCTGGGCATTTAATCATCAACTGCAAATTTACTTAAACCTTCCAAGTATTTCCATGAGTTAGTTAATATATCCGATTCCATTAAAGATTTCAAATACCCAAATAACAAAACATAAGTTGTCACAGAGATCTTAAAGCACAGTGCTTCAAATCCATCTAAGACGTCAGAGACTTGATTCATTTCCTTATCAGCATCTGCACTTACCCTGGTGAGGGGAATGAGGTTAATTTCTGGGGCCTGGACCCAGAACCATAGGATCTTTCAGGACAAGGAACTTTCTCTTTTGTTTCCTGTTACATCTACATTTTTTTTTAATTTTTTTTAACTTTTATTTATTTTTGAGACAGAGAGAGACAGAGCATGAATGGGGGAGGGGCAGAGAGAGAGAGAGACACAGAATTGGAAGCAGGCTCCAGGCTCTGACCCATCAGCCCAGAGCCCGACGCGGGGCTCGACCTCACGGACCGTGAGATCGTGACCTGAGCTGAAGTCGGATGCTTAACCGACTGAGCCATCCAGGTGCCCCTACGTCTACATGTTTTTAAGTGTCCCTTTCAGAATGAGATCTTCGTGGAAGTTGGTTGTTTTAGCAATCTATTTAAATTGTACTTTTAATTAAAATAGAATTAGTGTCAAAAAAGAAAATAGATGAAAAAAATTCCCAGACTAAAACAAATCCAGTATCCCGAGTACAGATTTTAACCTTCCTTCCCCACTGTCTGGTATGTTGCTTTACCCTGCTCACAGAGCGTAAGAGGAGGAGTTTGGAGCTGATCCCTCTGACCGCCCGCATGGTGATGGCCCACCTGGTGAACCACCTGGGGCACTTCCCACTCCGTGGGGGTCCTGCCGTGCTGCACAGTCTGGTCAGTGAGAACCATGACAATGTACACGCCGAGGCTCCCGAGCTGTCCTCTGAGGTGTTCCGGAGCCCAAACCTGCAGCTCTTTGTGCTGAATGACAGCACCCTCATCTCCTACCTTCAGACACCCGCAGAAGGGCCAGCAAGTGGCTCGCCGGGGGGCGCCTTGTCCGATGTCAGAGTAATTGTGCGGGATATCTCAGGGAAGTACTCTTGGGATGGAAAGGTTTTATACGGACCTTTGGAAGGCTGCTTAGCATCCAGCAGCAGAAATCCTGCATTTCTGATTTCCGGCTGGCATCCTCAAGCTTTGGGAGCTCAGAAAGATTTTTCTCAAACTGAGGAGGGAGAAGATGTGCTTGACAAATTACTTGAAAACATTGGCCACACGAGTCCCGAATGCCTTCTACCATCACAGCTAAATCTAAATGAGCCTTCCCCACCCCCGCGAGGAATGACCCGTGACCAAGAGAAGGAAATCATCGAGGTCATTTTGCGCCAGAATGCCCAAGAAGACGACTACATCCAGAGGTGTAACTCTGACTCAGCCATGAAAGTCACCAGCCAGGAGCAGCCCTCACCAGTGGAGCCACGAGGACCCTTTTATTTCTGCAGGTTGTTGCTCGATGACTTGGGGATGAATTCTTGGGACAGAAGGTAACGATTCTTTCTAGACCTTCACCTGTTTTATCATTATCTTTGTGTGATTGTTCTTGTTCTCAATTTGAGGTTTGGGAAGCAGAGAATAGAAATGGAGATTTGTCTTTCAGCATTTACAGCTTATTTTCCGCTGCTAAGTTAAAGCTAGAAGTGGAACTAATCATGCTATACTGATGCACAGATTGAATTTCAGCCAGGTCTTGTATATTTTAAAGGGTATTGGACATTTTCTGTGTGTGTGTGTGTGTGTGTGTGTGTGTGTGTGTGTGTGTGTGTGTTTTAATTACTGCTCTGTCCATCATTGATTCTGTCATCACAAAAGATGCAAATGGACTACAAAGATGAGTAAGTCACCATCTCACCTTAGGTCTAGCGAGGGAGGTAGATTTGGCACAACTCTGATGAAAGATAGCATGACACACGAGGCCAAGAGGAACAATTAATCCAATGGGTAGTGTGGGATGGTGGGGAAGACTGTGGACGGGGGTTGGTTTGAGGTGGACCCTGACAGTGGAGTGGGGTTTCTAAGAACAGAAGTAGGGTAAAGGTATTCATAGCAGAGCTGATAGTGAAAACAGACACAGACACAAGCATATAAGTGACACACTCATCTCCTACAGCACCATCCAGTGTCAATGAATGGTGATGGGTGAATTTTGATGCCTTTGAATGTCTTTAAGGAGAATGGAGTTCATTCGGTGGGCTTAGATCACAAATCTTTCGTGAATGAAGAGGGTCATGGATACGTAGATGGATGGATGGATGGATGAATGAATAGGTAGGTTTGTTGATTGATTGGAAAGGGCATAATTGGTCTGTGATTACGTGACTTTTCTTCCATCTCTTTTTTTTATAGAAAGAATTTCCATCTGTTGAAGAAAAATTCAAAACTATTGAGAGAGCTAAAAAATCTGGACTCCCGTCAGTGGTATGTGAAAGTATATCAGACCACTTCATTCCTGTCTGTCTTTGTATGTGCTTGGATGACAGAGCTTTAGGAATGAATGCACCTTCCGAGACACCCAAAAGTCATTCTGTAACTGGAATCTGGTGCCATCTGCATATGCTGTACCTTTGGTGTTTTTACTCTCAAGGAATAACCTTACATGTTTGCTACGCTAAGAAGAGGTCATTGCTCCCACCTAATCTGTGTCTTTGGTTGACAGTGGCAGCCAGTGGACATTCATTCTCATTAGTCTCTGCAGCTACCTCTTTTTCCAGTGAGGAACAGAGGCTTGCCTAAATCAAACAGCCTACCTACCTGTGCCCTTTACCGACACGTACCATGTTGTTTGAACCAAGTGAGTCTGACCTCATAACCCATGCCGTGTGCCTATGCACTGGCATTCTGTAGTTTCTGCTCTACAATGCTGGCAAGCTTAAAACTAGTGTGTTTTAATTAGTGACTTCCTAGTAATGAGCCTTATTCTCAAAACTAGTCAAATCTCAGATCTGTCCCTTTTTTCTGTAAAGTCTTAGAAGCAATTCTAAAGATGAACTCATGACCAGTTTTTGATTTGGGGAAATGTGTGCTTCCAAAAACATCTCAGACCCCAGTAAGTGTAGTGCTTGGTGCATGACAGGTGATTAAAAGTCTTGAATAAACTGCTTCCTTAATCTTAATTTAAAAAAAAAACAAAACTCATTTTTAAAGAAATAGCTTTTTGTTCCTCTTTTAGTCCCCACAGGAATATCATTAGGTATCTCATTACAGATGAAAAACCTGAAGCCATTATTCCTCACACTGCTCTTCATCATATTCAGTTTCCCAGTTGTTGTTACGCTTCTTTTTCTCTGGAGAAATAGAGACCAAATTCTCTGTGGAAACTCTGTGAGGGGTTTCTTGTAAGGGCTTGGGGGTTCATTTCTCTCTCCCTCTTGTCCTCCAGTATTAAACAAGCAGTCACTTGGGTTCCAAACTCAGCTTTTCAAGCATATGCTGAATTATTCCATGCTTCTTAGTATTAAGTGAATACATTGGTATCTTGTAATTGTGGCCAATTTCTTGAGTGTTAATGCACTTTAGTTGCATGAGGTACAATTGAATGAGCTCCCTGGGGTGCTGTTGCTGTAAAATATGGCTTTGGAGGAGCTGATTGGCAAATCCTCTGTCCTTTGATTAACCTTCCCTTAAAACCCCAACTCCTGGATTTAGTGTCTTCTTGACATCTAAAAAAGGTATCAACTTACTTTATTGTAAAGGGTGTTTTCAAGGTTCTTTTTGAAAAAAAAAAAGTTGGGGACTCTTTATCTATGGGAAATCTAGACTGTCCCATGTATTGGTTAGTTAGCAGGTAAAAGCATACCTTGTCTCTCAGCTTTTAGTTTGTGTGACTCTATTTCTGAGACCAATTTATTCCCTGCTGTCAAGGCATAGTTCCTGCTTAGCATGTTCTTAGGAAAAGTGTGGCGTCTGTCTTGCAACTCTCATCTCTATACTGTGAAGATAGCAAAGATGTAAAAAGTATGATGAATGCACATGCAAATTACAGTGGGCTCCTCTTTTAAATATTAATGCTTCTTGTCACCCCACGGTAAGGTGAAAGTTAAAATCATCTTTTTTCTTTGTTAGGCTTTTTAATGTGACAGCAGAAGGAAACCGAGCCATTCTAGTCTATTCCTAATAAGAAAGAAAAATGCATTCTAATGAAGAAGAGGAAATTGTTGATTTTATGTACGTGTGTTCCTGAATTACCTGCTCCTTCATGCATTGGTGGTGCAGCTTATGGATATGAAGTGCTGTTGCTAATTATCATTTCAAAAGACTGGCTCTAATAAGACCAGACACAGCGTCTGATCCTAGCAGGCTCTCTGTGGTGCTAACATTTTGGAGGATGTGAAATTTGATGAATGTTTACAGCTAAAGGTCACCTTTCCTCACACCTACATCAGTCAGGCAGTCACTGGGGCTTAGCTCTTGTGCTCCCACATTGAGTTAATGAGGACTCAAGGACCTGTGAACAGCTACAATATAAAAAGCTTGGACTTTGAGGAGCGTCAACAGAAATGTTTCAGATAAACTTGAGATGGTCTTTATACATGCATAAATACATATAGAATAGAGACCAATCAAATGCTGAGGACTTTTTAATATGCAGAAAGAGCTGCAGAAAAAAACTGAGTAACTGTACATGTTCTCCTTTTGTTGAAAGAGTCTTTTAGGTCATAGGTTATGATCTCTGTCATCATCCGAGACCCAAATCCCCAAGTTATTATAGCTCCTAGAATATAAGCCAGGCAGATTATAGACTGCAAATGTGTCCTGCCTGTCACTCAGGGAATATATGGTGTGGCAGTTTCAGGGTTTCCATGCTGCATGAGAACAAGTTTTCTGACAGTGTGAGAGCTCAAGGTCTCTACTCTAGAGCATCAGCCCCCTTGGATCCATCACCACAAAACTTCCCCCTTCCAACAGCAACTGTACCTGTGAAGACAGGTGTCTCCAACCTGTGTGCTCGCACCATGCCAGTCAGAGCATTCAGGATGTCCACCTTCTCCAAGGGCAGCAAGACAGCCTTTATCAAAAGCCTTCAAAATGGACAATGACTGAGATTCCATTTCTATGAATGTATTCTAAGGACATGTTAGAGATAATATGACAATGTCTTTAAAAATGGTAGCAACTTAAATGTCCAATGACAAGGATTTGGGGTAAGGTATATTAATACACTGGAATGTTATACAACCATTAATAATTTTGTCATACAAGTACATGGTATAAAAGTGTTCCCACTCAACAGTTGTTTTACATGGTGACTTTTATGTTATACATATTTTACACGATAAAAATTAGTGTTCACAAATATTTTAAGTGAAACTTATCAGTTCCAAAACAGGATATAGTGGCTTCTCACTTACTATGTGAAAACACATCCTGAAATAGTAACAGCTGTGATTTCAACATTTAGGCCAAGAACATAAGTGAATTTTTTATTCTTCACTTTCTATATTTTCTAGTTCTTCTTTTCAGTATGCTTATTTTATGTAAACTATGGGGAAAATGAATAAGCTACCTAGATAAATAGAAGGAAAGTGTTCTCCTCCTTGATTTATTTTTATGACTTTTTAGTTGAGTTTCATTTCATTCTGCTTATTAAGTAGAAACATAACTCCTGAAGAAGGAGATGTTTGTGACTGTATTAAAATCTGGAGCCCAAATTCCACCAGTATAGATATCTAATCAGATTATAGTGTTGAGATGTTGAACAGTTAAGACAATAGAAACATTTCCATATTGCTTGAGCTCTTGATAGTTTTTCAGAATGCAATGCAAAAATAATAAAGATGGAACTGCTCTGGAGGTGGTAATCCAAAATTTTAGAAAATAGAGACTGGAATTAAACTCTTGGGATGATGGGCCATGGAATGAGTGGTTCTCATTGATGAAAACTCTGTTTGAATTAGCACAGTGCCTTCATCCCTAAACTGTCACCAAATTGCTGGGTAAAAGTCTAGTTATTTTGACACTTCCCTGCAGGATATAATTTGTAGAAATTGGTTATTAATATATTTATAGCATTGGATTACTGGTCAACAGAGATTTAACTGAGCAGCTACTATGTGCCTATGACCATGCTAGATGTACAAAAGGTAAAAAGGCAGGACTCCTTTCCTCAAAGTGCAGGCCATGTTTACTTGGTTTAATAGCAAAGTGCCCAGAGTCCATCGTGGAGGAAGTGGGTGAAGGGTTTATGTGACCTAAGAGGTTTCCCTGGTCATCTGTCCACCCTACCTTACTCCCTCAGATTAGTCAGAGCAAGGAGTGGGTACCTCTTCACAAAGAAAGTGTTCTGCTTGGAAGAAGTTTCTGTTTCTTATAATAGTTTATAGTCTAGTTTATAGTTCTAATCAGGGAACCAATATCCTTATCTCAAAGTGTGGTAAGTAAAATATGGGCAGTGACATAGATCTATTCTCAATTGATATCTATGTGAAGTGCTTTCACATATATTTTTTTGTATATCACATGTTTGAAAGAGTAATCTCAAGAGCCAGACTGCCCTGCTTCAGTTCCCTGTCTCCTGCTTGCTCTGTGTGCTTTCTGTTTAATTTTCCGTGCCTCCTTTCAACCACCTCTACAAGGGAAGTGGTGATAATCACTTGTCTCTTTAGAGTGGTTGTGAAGAGCCAATGAGATCACGTGTCAAACCTCCTTAGAACAGTGACTGACCCCTAGTAGATTCTCCGTAAATATAAGCTTTATAGTAGGAGTCATGCTGGCGGTTGTATAGAAATAAAATTTTAAATCTAAGAATTCTAACTCCTTTAAATTTAAAATTTTATAGCCGTGAAACACACAAAATTGCAGTGTTTTACATTGCTGAAGGTCAAGAAGACAAGTGTTCTATCCTCTCCAACGTAAGAGGAAGCCAAGCATATGAAGACTTTGTTGCTGGACTTGGATGGGAGGTAATTCATTTCATTTCAGAGGTGTTTATTGGCCAGCACTATATAAGGACGTGTATAAGCTAGACACCAGTTATACAAGGTTTTGTATTCAAATCTAGCACATGTAGCATGTGCTACATGTATTGAATTTGACATCTTGTGTTAGTTGCTTTTCAGTACTTCTCACATGAACTTTTGTTTCCCTTTAACTTTTCATAATATTTCATTCACTTCTTGTCAGAATCAAATAGATCGGCTCACTCAGTCATAGACAGTTTGTAGTAAGAGAAGACAAATATGGGTAAAAAAGCAATGGCTTGGCCACAGTGTAGAGATTGGAGAATTAAGCAGTGGCTTGATGGGTGAAAACATGAAGAAAGAGCTGATGAAGTAAAAAATTGGCATGAAAATAGAGTAGAGTAGCTTTGATGCTTCAGCAGCCAACCTGTTTCCCTTAGGGAGATCCCAGGATGACTGATATTGAAAGAATATGCTATTTCTTTGCTAAATGATGCTCATACAGACATATACATTTATACACACACACACACACACACACACACACACACAGTCTCTAGGAACATAAATCTAAAGGAAAATATATTTCTAGAATCTAAAAGAACTCAGAGTGGTTATAATGGAAACAGCATATCTGAAATAATTTTCTTATTTTTCCTTACTTTTATTTTGGTTTCTCGGTTATCTGTGCTGTGAGAAACTCTCTGTATGCCTAAATAAGACTTGTCTCTGAGAGCTGAATGTTAGTAAGGAAACTAATATGGAGATGGGTACAGGAGAAGCCTACATCTAGGTGAAAACCATGTACTTTATAAAATGTAAAGTTGATTTTAGTCTAAAAGAGTTATTACACTTCAGTAAATTGTCCTTCTTACTAATAAGGTGACTTCTTATTTGCTGTAGACTAGTTAATCATTTAACTAATACACCGTTTAAACCACACATTCTTAACTAGAGTTTTTAGAAAAAACTTGAACATTAATTTAGTGTATATATTGATTGTATTTGTCACAAAAGAGATTCTTCTATTGCTTTTTTTTTTCATTTGTGTTACAACAGGTGCTTTACTGAAAGAATTCTAGTTTATGAAAAGTTTAAAAAAAAGAGAGAGATCCTAGGCACTAAGAAGTGAGCATTCACACCACAGCTTGAAAAGAATAACTCCTGGGTGGCGCAGTCGGTTGAGCGTCCGACTTCAGCCAGGTCACGATCTCGCGGTCCGTGAGTTCGAGCCCCGCGTCGGGCTCTGGGCTGATGGCTCGGAGCCTGGAGCCTGTTTCCGATTCTGTGTCTCCCTCTCTCTCTGCCCCTCCCCCATTCATGCTCTGTCTCTCTCTGTCCCAAAAATAAATAAACGTTGAAAAAAAAAAT